TTACTCAAGGTAGATGTTCAGTGAGACTTACTGACGTGAAATAATAAATGTTCTAACCTGGAGTCACACCTGTTTTTCTCCTTTCACTTTATCTATGGCCCTAAATTTCCTCAGCGCGTTTTTTGTTTCTTGGTGTGCAACTTTTATTTCTGGGACAAATGAAAGCCAATCTAGGGCTGTACTTCCCCCCAAATAAATACATCCTTTTCAACCAGAACTTCTGTTGAAAATACCTAACAAGTTCAATTTATAAAATCCTAAAATGTTTAAATTTTAATTTGAAGATATTAATAACCTTAGAGGTATCTGAAAACATTCTTTGGAAAATAGTGCTCAAGTTTTAAGTCTGAATTTTAAGCTCATGGAAATAATATCATCTGTGAACTATTTATAGGTAACTTATGTACACATGGATGAGACATGCAGATGCCTACAGCGGGACAAAAAAACTGCACACTGGCTTTCTCAATAAGCCAGGAAAATGGTGCTATTTTAAATCCCTCAGCACGAAGTGGAACTCAACCAGATGGATTTAGCCCTGGTAGTAGGTCACCACAGCCTTAACAACCTAAAACAAAATCAACCCACACCAACTCAATGTCTTTTTCATAAAGGACTTTAAAGATGAAATAGCTTCCAGGAGGAGATGAGCAGCTATGTGCCCTGCAGGGACGTAGCCTGCTAGGGGTTATCAGCTGCCACCTGCTCAGCTCCACTTCTGAAGAGGCAGATGTGGCTCCGGGGAAGGATGAAGCAGCTGGAGATGAGATCTATTATTTTTAGCTGTGTGCCTAGGGAAAAAGAAATTCCTGTTGTCTTTTTCTCCATTAAATTAAAATAAAGCAAAACTGCTTTATTAAAGATTTATTCTAATCCAACAGCTACTAATAAAATGAGGTCTGAAAACAGACTGATGGTAGTAATGGTGACCCGGATTCAACAGCTGCATCCAACCAGGTGACTGACAGGCTGACACCAGACGTCACCGGTGTCTCCCAGACAGTCTCGCCTGCAGAATGTAAGCACACCATCCTTCAGGGGAGATGTCCAAACCTGGGATTTTAAAAAAGCAAATCTACTTCCTTAAGAAGCTTATTTCATTTTAATTTTTTAGATCTCCATCCCTTCCCAGGCCTCTTTATTGTGATTTTATGTGAAACTGTCATTCCATTTGAAATACTGGCATGCCAGCTATTGTCGTTTCCCACAAAAAATAAAAGCATATGTTTACAGTTTAAAAAAAAAGAGAACTGGCTCAACCACCAGAGCAAATTCATATGGGGACTGGTTTCAATATACATATTATGACGATAATTACAAATGTATCATTTACAAATTTCTGCAGCACTAAGTTTGGCCAAGAAAATCTAATTAAGGAGCTGCAATGAGACACTGGCTCCCAAGTGTACGTAAACACATGGAATAGGGTACATCAAGTACTGTGAGTTCAAATACCGAGGAAGAAATCAGAGAAAACAAAGGTAAGTGTAGATGTCAGGGAAACTGGGGCATCCCGAATACGGCAGCGCTCTGGGGCTTTGGGCAATGGAAGGGATAAGTGGAAACAGTACTGTGTTCACAGGAGGCTGAGCAGAGTAAAATAATGACATAATGACTTCAACAGACCAAGTAAAGAGACAGCAAGGACTTCCACCAGAGCAGTTTTTCATCAGTGCCTGCAAAACAGTCTGGGAGACAGCGTTTTGAAAATACAGCTTTCCACTTTGCTCACAGCCGAAATAGTGAATTTTCAAGGAGGCTCCCTTCATTCCCAGTCTCTTCTTGCGTCTTTATCCGTACTGAAGTATCTAAAGAGAGAGCGGTTCCTTCACTCACACAAAGCCCCTGCTAAGGATGGGCCCCTGGGCTCGAGACGTGGGGACACAAAGGTGAAGAAGACCTGCCCTCTGCAGAATCCAGAACTTAACCCCTGCTTGAGTTCATTCACTGCTGAAAATGAGGCATCAGACAGGTACCAGTCCACAGTTAAATGGCTGAAAGTGTTGTAAATGAAAGCATGGGTTTGTGTTTCTGAAGTCACTAGGGAATAGTCAGAGGGCAACAGTCACTTCTGTTGCCTCAATGCAAAATAAGGAGAGAACATATTTATTTTGCTAAGAATACATAAAGATTAATCCTCGAATGTGAGGGAAAGATGTCCTCTTATGCATTACATGGTCTTAGTAAACACTGAGAAAATGAAATTTAAGTTAAATACTTCAAATGTCTGTCAAAAATTATCTCCCTTCCTACATCTACATCCATTCCTGCCTTTCAACTCAGGAAACCAAATCGAATTTCAGTCTGGCCTAATAACAGACGGCTTTCATATAAAGTAATTTGAGTCCTCTGACAGCAAGTGGTATCCTACTCAGACATTTCTGTTAACTCTGATCAATTGCAAAATCAAAGACGACCAATATTCAAACTGGGCAAAGGGAAAAAAAGGATACAGTTCTCTTAGAAAATATTCAAGTATCAAATTAAAGACCATAACTTCTTGGACATGGGCTTTCCAAGTAGTCTGCTGACTTAAAATGGTTTTTATATGTAAGCCCTGAGTACATGCTAAGTTGCTTCGCTGTGTCTGACTCTTTGCAATCCTATGGACTGTGGCCTGCGAGGCTCCTCTGTCCATTCCCCAGGCAAGAATACTGGAGTGAGTTGCCAGGCCCTACTCCAAGGGAATCTTCCTGACCCAGGGATCAAACCCACGTCTCTTATGTCTCCTGCACTGCAGGCGGGTTCTTTACCACTAGCATCGCCTGGGAAGCCCGTATGTAAGCCTTAATATTTTCTTTTTGACATGAGAGGCTACTATAGAAGCTTTCCTCTCACTTTGAACCTACAGAGTTAATCCTGTTAATCCAGAATGAATAGGTGAACCAAGAATGATAACTAAGACAGAATATTCTTCCTGATTAGCAGGCAAAAGGGAATTTTTTGGTAGCAGGCAGGTGCCTGGCCAAGCAGAGGCCTGATCAGCACAGGGTGCGGCGGCGTAAAGCGGCAGCTCTGTAGGCTACCCGCCAACTGTACAACGCTGAATTCTTGGGCCAAGGCTTGAAAGTAATTCACTGCTAGTCCCTGAGATTATGACCCCTCTGCCATAGGATACATCATGCACTGGAAAAAACAGTTAAACATTTCTGGTTTAAAAGCTGTTGCTGAACTTTCTGAGCAACATGACAACAAACGCAAAAACTGCACATTGCGAAAAACACCGGTACCCGAAACATTTGAGCTTTTCCCCTTTTCAATACCGACGGCTGTCATTTTCTGACTAAACTCCTGGAGTGGCTTAATCCTCAGGCTTCTAGCAGCCCCTGCTGAATGACAGTCTGCTCTCCAACTTTAATCTGCATATTTGTCTTTTCTCTTCTGGGCTTGTAAACTTTCTCCAACTACTCAGCATATGTAAGAAATGTTGGAATCCCCTGGCTTGGCACTCGAGGCCCTGTAAAATTTAACCTGCCGTTCTCAGTCCTCTGGCCACCCGATGAGAAGAGCCGACTCACTGGAAAAGACCCTGATGATTAGAAAGACTGCAGCGAAGAGGAGAAGGGGATGGCAGAGGCTGAGATGGTTAGACAGCATCACCAACTCCATGGACGTGCATTTTGAGCAAACTCCAGGAGACACTGGAGGACAGGGGAGCCGAGCGTGCTACAGTCCGTGGGGTCACCAACAATCAGACGGGATTTAATGACTGACCAGCAACAACAACCTTTCTGATCATGTCTCTGCTTCCCTTCGCCATGAATGTCCTTTCTCCATCTGGCACTTCAGCAGCGGTTCCACAAAGCAATCCGACGGCTGTCTTCACCTCTATTCAGAAAACCTCTTTTCTTCCTTCCTCACTCAGCATAACAGGCAACGACCGTCCCAAGCGCCTCTGTTTGTCCATACTTTTCCCCAAATTCAAGATCTAGCTCAAGTTACCCCACAATTCTCTCTCCTGCTTTTGAATCCATAAGGCATTTGACACAGATCATTATTTGTTACAAAAATCTAGGGACCACGGAATGTGAACCTTTCACTTTCCACACAAGATCATTTTTCACCTTTACAGAGCTCCCATCTTATACTTTTTCACATGTCCGATAATAAGTATAATCTCCACAAAAGTTTAATTTCTTAGGTAATGCTTTAATAAACATACCACCTTTGAATGCATCAACTGTCAGCAGATAATTCCTTTGGTAGAAGGTGGTGAGAAGAGAAATGAGGCATTTTGACAGAATCCACAAAAATCACAGCTGTATAAAAATCCCATTTTTAATTACCAGCTAATTTTGGCAGACATGGCTGACCCTCACCACACCAGGGAACTTCAGAGAGAGATGATATTCTCAGGTGGGGAAAGCTCAGGGATGGGGAGGATGTCTGTTTCATATATCCCTGGGTATTTTTTTTTAATTGAAAGTAACAGTGATCTATTTGCTTGTGTTAAAGGTCATCCGAGTTTCGACTCCATCAAAATGAGATCCATAGTACAGAGCCACATCAGTATGCCATGTGCTTCCCAGAAGCTGGCTTGGTTCTACTTATTTCTGAAGCATTTATCACCAGCAGGTACAGGATAACTCAAAGGGCTTCCAATATGCCTTTTAGCCAAGTAACATCACACCTGACTATTTTCTATAAATCTTATCCAGAGTAACATCTATAGATCTTTCTCACACACACACACACACACACACACACACATTTTGTAGCATTTAACACTGATAAAACAACTGCAGATTTTATGGACAGTACTTGTGAGTACATTGCTATGAGGTACTTAAATATTATTAAAAACTTTACTTTTCAAAAACATTACATTACCCCTGTAAATCACTCTAATGTGGATTTAAGAGTCATGCTAATGAACACTACAAAACAAAACTTGAGAGATACACAGTGTTCTCAGTTGAATTATACTTAATTGAAGTGATTTGTAGAGATTACCGTGAGGGTTTTTGACAGATATGAGAAACAAAATGTAAAATTCCTACCTTGAGTCTGTTTCCTGTTCACCGCATTATCAGCTTTATGTCGTTTCTAAAGTTTAAAAGCAAAAACAAAAACTGTGAAAAAGTGGATGAGGTTAGCAAAACAAGATAGCACCTGTAACAAAAGTCAGATTTTTTTTCCTTTAAACTTACGTTTCTCAAGGCTTTTATCCTTTCACACCCATATCAATTTTATAAGTAAGCCAAGAGTATGGTGATGGGAACAATTAGAGTATGTGGGGACTTTAAAATTGAAAGTGCAATCCATAGCATCTTTTAAAATTGAAAGTGCAATCCACAGCATCTTTATTACCTTTCTAGGAGTACAGGTGTGTGGCCTCAAAAAGAGCTTTTTGAGGTTTTTTGTGTTTTTTTTGAGGTCTTTTGGTAGCTCACACTACCAGCTACTATGCTGCTCCTCGTGAGCACTGCTGGGTCTAGGAGTGCTCGTCTATAGCCCCATCAATAATGTCTACAGGCATTGTTGAACAGGCAAGATTAAAATTTTAATGTATTAGAAAAGACAGAGCTGAAAGACCGATTTAGACTTTTGCTTAAATAACTTACTCAAAAGGAAGATTGCCCAAGAGAATTATCCGTAATAACTACCATTGAACAATGACACCAAAATATTTTCAGTTTCTTAGGAAATTCATTATCTAATTAGGCTGAGCACATCCCCTATAATTTAATGGCGTGCCACTGTCTGTCAACGAGGAGAACCATCTACCACTTGCACAACACTGTTTTTCTACCCACTGCTCCCCAACAGCGCCCCCCACCTTCAGAAGTCACTGAATCTCATTTTCTTTCCTCCCAAAGCATGAAAAAGTTGAGGATTAAACGAGCGAGTTAGTCTACATCTAGGTGGGTGAATCTGAAGGGCCACCGAGGCCAAGACTGGCCGGCAGTAAGAGGAAGGGAAGGTCAGAGGGAAGGTCAGAGGGAAGGTGAGAGCCTGGGTGGTCGGGGAGGCCCCCTTCTCTACGGTCCAACGGGAGGTTTTCTAGGGCGTCCGTCTAAACTTTCAGCCTCCGCTGACGCTGCAGAAGTGTTAAGCGTAACTGACGCTGAGCTCAGATTCTATCATATAAAGCCCAACAGTCAGGCTTAGCTACACATATTTGATCACAAGGTGGGTTGGCATGAATGCAAAACTAATGAGTTCTGAAGTTGAGAAGAAACATGAGTTTTGGACTCACGGGACACAAATGAAAACATTTTTCCAGACAAAAGCCTGGGCCTGTAGATGAGCACTCCTGGACCCGGCAATGCTCACGAGGGGCAGCATAATAGCTGCAGTGTGAGCTCAGTTCATCCAAACAATCGGCCACTGAGCTGCGCAAAATGCAAACTGAGCATTCACAACGCCTCTGCGGAGGCTTGCTGAGAACGACTCTTGCCACATCCACGTGGGAACACACTACAGTTCTCTCCCATAATAAAACACTCGCTAATAAGTGTCATGATGCAGACTTTAAATAGACAGATTATTGCTTCCAAAAGTAAGCACATGATTTGACAGCAAAGATTCTCAAATAAATTTTTAAAGTTCTGTTAAGTTTACAGCATCAGTGGAGAATATTTTATGATTGATAAAACTCTAAAATACTTACTTTTTTTTAGTTGTTGTTAAAAAATATTTTCGAAAATTAGGAAGCAACCCAAAATAAATTTTAGTCCAAAATAATAGTCTAAGGGAAACTGAGATATTTGAAAGTGGTGCAAATATTTTCAAAACAATGCACATGTATGACAGACAAGGGTTAGATTTCCAACTGAGGGAGACAAATAAAAGCTAATTAATGAAACATTCCACTTAAACTGGAAATTTAATCTTAGTGAAACTTAAGGAGATCCTGAATATTACTTTCCATCTGCAGAGAATTCTTATACATGAGCCTCTCTTTCCTCAACCTTCCCGCCACACAATAAATTAGGTTAATTGTTGAGACATAGTTGTGTTGAATATACATAAGGATCCAACCCAGATAGATTCTAATCTTATTACTACAAAAGGAAAGCATCTTTGTTTCCAAAGAAGATCCTTATTCCTTTTAAAACTTATATAGTTTGGAAGAAATGTATATAACTTTCCTTAAATTAACATACCTCTATTGAATTGTAATCAGAATTCATTTACTATCGCTGAGAACTAGTGAATGATTTAATATTATCAATATTTGATTGACAGTGTCATGAACTTTATGGTACTTAAGTTCGCAGTGCTGACCACCCCTTTGTTCTGGGAACCCTTCCTTCACAAGGCATGTCCTAAGACAGCAAGCCCAGGGGTTCTACTTGACCCTTGGCCCCTTCTTTAGCTCTCAGTGATGGATTTCCTCAAGGCTTACTCCCTGCCTTCTCTGCTTCTCACTCAACACTCTCTTAGCTCCTTCATAACTATAATTTCAGTGATAATCATTATCAAACATACTGGTCAAGACTCTCATCTGAGCTCCAGAAGGTTACATTCAGTGGCCTCCTTGACAGTTTCCTTTGGTAGTCTTAAATGCATCTCAAACTATGTCTGAAGGGCAATCTCTGATTTTATCCCCCAAGACTTGGTACTTGTCTCAGACATGGAACCATATAGCAGCCACTTACGCAAACCAGGAACTTGAGATTCGTAAGTACCTTCTCTCCTTTTCACTCCCATGCAATCTATTTCTTCATTCAATAAATGCTGGCAAAGCATTGTGTCAGATCCCGTTACTACTGCTGATACGGCAGTGAACGAAAGACAAAAACTCTTGCTCTCAGGGAACTTACACACTAGTGGTTGGAGATAAAGCAGTAATAAAACAAGTAGGATATGTAGAACGTCAGATGGTAATATCTTGTCAATTTTATTCTTAAACATATATTGAATTCATTTTTCCATATTTCTTTATCTTTACAACGCCACTTAATCTAAGATACTTTGTTTTCATACCAACTATTACCAAGAGTGATAACTGCCAGTCATTGCCAACTCCTTGGGAACCCATGAACTGCAGCCTGCCAGGCTTCTCTGTCCACGGAGTTTTCCAGGTAAGGATGCTGGAGTGCATAGCCATTCCCTTCTCCAGGGGATCTTCCGGACCCAGGAACTGAACTGGGGTCTCGTGCATGGCAGGTGAATTCTTTGTCAGCTGAGCTACCAGGGAAGCCCAACATCTAGTTCTCCTCCATCCCCATGGGCAGGGCTTACCTGGTTGCTCAGGGGTAAAGAACCACCCGCAATGCAGAACATGCGGGTTTGAGATGTGGGTTGGATCCCTGGGTTGGGAAGATCCTCTGGAAGAGGAAATGGCAACCCACTGAAATATTCTTGCTTGATAAATCCCATGGACAGAGGAGCCTGGCAGGCTGCCGTTCATGGGGTCTCAAAAGTAAAAAATGACTTAGCAACAAAACAACAACAAATATCTATGGACATTGAGATTACAGCTCCCTTTTGCCGTATACCATTCTAATATTGCGCTGTAAGCAGATGAAATATGTACCGTTTCCGGGCCAAAATGTACAAGAAGTGAGGGCCTCCGTTCTCCCTCTTCCTCTGCTCCGGTGGCCACTGACAGCCCCCAAAGCGGAGCCTGACTCAGCTGCATTCCTAAGTGGTTACATGAACAGTGGGCTTCTCTCCCTGCCTTCCTCCTGGACAAAAGCCTGCGGTGTCTTCAAGTACAGGGAAAATCAACTTAAGTCAAAGACACTGACATTTGGGACATGACTTATCACTGCAGCAGAAGTTTAACACATCCGAATACAAATCCTAATGAATGCCTGGCATCTAAGCACTGCTTCATACATTTTTGCTGAATGAATGAACAAATGAATGTATTAATAATTACTGATAAAGATACTCTGTTCAACTATCTAGACTATTATTTGATTGCTTTTCCTTCTCTAGAAAGTAACATTTCAGTCTTCCTATTACTTTACAGGTTGACATAAACTTATTAAACCACTCCTACAGAACATTTTTAGTCAATTTCTTAAAAATGCTTTTACTGAAAAGCTACTTCACATGATGCTCTTATTGCCCATAAAACTATTATTACACCCTTCAGGAATTGCCTGGTTAGCTGCTTCCCAAGAGTACCCGATTATTACGCTATGCCAATAAGAGTTCTGTCAAAAACAAGCAAACAGATTTCTTGCCTTCCATTTTATTTACCATATATTTTCATAGAATGGGATACTAGAAACAATAGCTAGAGAACTTGCAGTTTTTCTAGAGAAAAGAGGAAAAAAAAAGGACAAGCAGCTTATAGCAGTGATTATAAGGCAGAGCTCGTTGGAACCAAATTGTCTTATTTGGTTTCTGACAGTCTCAGTTATTAGCCCTGTGACCCTGAGCAAGTTACCTTACCCCTCTCTGCCTCCTCTCCCTAATCTATGAAACGGGGATAACAGCAGCAATCTTTTGAAGGTTGTTATGTCTATAGTGTGTGCTCAGTCATGCTAGACTCTTTGTGATCCCCTGGACCATCACCTGCCAGGCTCCTCTGTCCATGGCATTCTCCAGGCAAGAATACTGGAGTGGGTGGCCATTTCCTCCTCCAGGAGATCTTCCCAACTCAGGGACTGAACCCACGTCTCCTCCATCTCCCTGAAGCTAAACAAATGTTGTTATTATTGTTGGTGACTCACCACACCAATACAGAGGAAGAGCATAGGATAAGATGGAATTCAGATTTTAGCAGTTTCTTGCACAAGTTACACACCCTCTCTAAGCTTCGGCTTTTTGAACTTTAAAATGAGGCTAAAATCTAACTTTCAAAGTCTCTGAAGGAATTAAATGAAAAAATGCAAAAACAGCAGCACAATACCTAGCAAATAAGGGTTACTCAGTGAAAATTAGGCTAAACAGAGGAAGAAAGGGGAATGCATGAGGCAAAGAAAGACAAAACTGTTTTAAAGACCAGTTCTCAAGGACCGCCCAGTGCAAGTCAAGGCGTGTAAGTCTGCGCAGAGTGATACAGGCAAGAAAAGAGTCTCATGAATTTTCAGCTAGTGGTCCCGGTAAGTTAGCCATTTTCAACTAGAGACTATGATGGTTTATACACAGATGCATGCACACAAACAACCTGTTTGTACTCCTAGATACTTGGATGTTTTTGAGGCTGATGATCTCAGTGGTCAGTTGACCCATCTCTAATTGGCCTAACGATGCTACAGCTCATGTATTCTTCATGAGATCCCAATTTGATTCTTTACAAAATAATATCAATATTTGTACAACTTTACATTGGAGCTTTCTAAAGAATGTCTCAGCCTTTCCTCATCTTACCATCTGACTTGCCTAAGGCTTGACAGATGGTCATTTCAGACAACCAATGTATTTAAAGGGCATAGGAAAAAAAATACTAGCTTCCTCAACTAAAGCAGCTAAAATAACAGTGAAACAGAGGAGAAAGAAGAGCCGACTTTTATTTTGGGCAGCTTATTTTATCAGGGGAAACCGACTGACTTCCCCTTTTCTTTACTACTGCAGAATAATAAAAATAGAAAATCTGCCATTACTTTCCTTTAATAAAATAAAGGAAACAGAACTAGTAAAAAAAAAAAAAAGATGAAAAGGAATCAAGGGTGTCTAATGAGGTGAAAACTATGGAAAATGGAAAAATAAAAAAATGGAAAAAACTTTTTACCTTTAGATAATTTGGAGGTTATGGTGTTTTAACTTGAAATAACCTTCAAGTTGAAACTGAGCATACTTGAAAATAATGTTCAAATATAGTTTTCTCTCCAAGCTAATTACTACATTCAAATTAATTTATTTCATCACAAAGGCACAAACTTAAGGTATCACTGTAATAAGCACTCTGTTAATATTAATCCTATAGAAATCAAGAGGAACTCCAGGAATGGGAGCATATTTTAAACACTTTTAAGATGAATAAGTATTTTAAATAGTCTGTATCAAGAATAAAACAACATAGGAAGAAATTGATATTTTAAAATATGTACATAAAATAACAGTGTTACATTTATGAAAAAAACAAGTACTTACAATATCTTCTATTATCTCTTTGATAGCTGCCACAGCCAAAATAAATAAGAGAGGAACCAGTGTTGTATAGCGACCTGTTGGTGATACATCAGGTATTTGCTATTTGAAGGAAAAAAATAAAAATGGAAGAGAAATTCAGTAAAACTAGCAAGTTTATAATGCATTTGAAAACAACAAAGTCTTAATGCTTCTTAAAATATGCTTCATTGATTCTACCAACTTGGTGGAATAACACAAGGTGAGGCAATTTGCTCGAATCTAGTAAGCAGCTGGAAGAAAGTATATTAGTTTCACGGAAGCAGTTGTGTGTAGGACTAACACCTACAAAGGGTGACTGGTTAACTAAATTACAGCATATGCATTCAACAGTAGGTTGGCCAAAAAGTTCGTTTGGATTTTTCCACAGCACGTTATGGGAAACCCTGAACGAACTTTTTGACTAAGCCAACAAAATTTCATAAACCATTAAAAATGGTATTTTAGAAATACAATGAATTATATGCGGAAAAATATCCACACATTACTATAAGGGTAAGCAGGTAATAAAATATATATACTTTATGATCCCCTTTTTGTAAGTCAATTAACAATGCTTGGGATAGGAAAAAAAAAAAGACCAGAAGGATACACACCCAAATTTTAAGAGAGCAGCTGTATTTTCCCGGTGATGAAATAACAGAGGTTCAAGTTTTTTCTTTATGCTTTGCTGTGCTTTCTTACTCTTTTTTACTTGACTATATAGTACTTTTTAATAAAATAAACCTTTCTTTCTGATTACAACTAACCCAAGTTCAAAACAAAAAAAGCTTTAAAATAGTAACTCTTGCATTCTAAAGTTCATAACTGACAATATTACTGTTCCTAAAATAAACTACTATTTTAAGAAAAAATCCTATCCCTCTTCACCATCCAAAATGAAAAGTCCTTGCCATATTACATTTACAAATGTCTAAAATAAGCTGATGACAATGAATCAAAAGGCTTGAAGAGGTAGCCGCAGCATTCTGACCTGACTTGGAGCAGGAGCCAGAATGCCCACCCGAACCAGCTTATCTCTCTGCATTTAGATAAGCTTCAGAAGACTGGTCATGGGCCTAAGAAACACATTTATTAATATCCGAACACATTATTCTGAGCTAAGGTTTTACAACATGACTTTACCTGGAGCAGTGCAATAAAGAGGAAAAATGAATTAGCGGCTCTTCTGAACTGAGAGTAGAGAAATCTTGGAAGGAATGTGATTATGTTGTATTTTGCAGTGCTAGAAAACAAAAATGAAAAGTAGCATAAAACTTAATTCTTCCACAAATAGCATCCACATTTACGAAATCCTATTTTCATCATATAAAAAATTAGATGATGAACAACTGCCCTTTATTTTAAACCAGAATACTGCAAATGGTCATAAACCTCAATGAAAAGGAGTGAAAGTGTAATAAGGAAGAATCTTTTGTTTTCAATTACAATATTACAAGTTAATCACTAAAGGGATGTCTCCTACAAGCTTAAATGATGCACAATAGCCCATCTCTTTGAACCCTGCCTCCGAGGTAAGGAGCCCTAAGCTAAAATACCTATGTTTAGCTCACAGGAAACATCCTGACCACGCCCACTTGTAAATGCCTGCAGGAAGAAATTAACACATCCCCTCTGAGGATGATGGGAACCAGGAAGTGTCTGACTTCACTCCCTCACCTTTCAGTAATAAAGTGAAAATCAAAGTCGCTCAGTCATGTCCAACTCTTTGCGACCCCATGGACTGTAGCCCACCAGGCTCCTCCATCCATGGGATTTTCTAGGCAAGAGTACTGGAGTGGGTGCCATTGCCTTTTCCGGGGGATCTTCCCAACCCAGGGATCGAACCCAGGTCTCCCGCATTGCGGGCAGACGCTTTACCGTCTGAGCCACCAATAAAAGCCGCCTGAATTCTAACTCAAGCAAGATGGTTCTCTGTGGGGGCATGAGCCTACCATTTCAGTTGCTGATTTTCTGAATAAAGCCATTACTCCTTTTCCAAGAACTTGTCTTTCTGTTACTGGCTTGTCCCGAGGCAAGCAGAACAAGCTGAGACTCAGGAAGAAGAGAAATCATCTAAGTAGTAAGAGTGTGATTTTCTGCATAGTCGCTTCTCTTCCCTTTGGCCAGTCCCTTTGTTGTCATTACTAGCGACGGCTTACAAAGAAGAGCAACTTTAGTTAAGGTAGTGGATGATATGTTGGGCTTCCCTGGTGGCTCAGAGGGTAAAGCGTCTGCCCAAACACATTAGATGTGTCCATAATCAGGAAGATACCATCATTTAGGCCTCAGAAACATCCAATCTTCCTCTTGTTAATTAAACAGAAGATTAACCACATAACCCAAGCTCAGAAAAGTTACTCTAGAATTTGAAGCTGTAAAAATTAATTTTAAATGGTCATTTCACAAATCTAGAAGTTCTGGCACCAGAAAACCACTGGGCTGACATGTGGTGGTGATGGGGGGTGGTGTTCATTTGGTTCCAGGGGCCACGCAGTGAATAGTGCTTCTAAGAGGTCTTCTTTTACATTATTGTTGGAAGGAAAATAGAACAGTGATGCAATTCTCACACCCTCCGTTCCTGGACACCACACTAAATTTTTCAAGCATCAAAAGTCAATATTTAAAGACTATTTAACACAAAGAAGTTCTAAGAGAACTGCAAAGACTTCTTTTGAAAGGTGAAAACCTGCTCATCAAAAACAATAGTTCACAGGTCTATTAACAGGTTTAAGACAAAGGCACCTCCCCATGAACTGCTTTCATTACTCAGATACTATAAATAGAATTGGCAGCATATGGCTGCTTAGCCTTTCTGCTCTTTCCTACTTCTAGATTCTTATTAACATCTCTTTATTGGCTAGAAGATAGAGAAACAGCTGATCTGCACTCCTTCAGGAAGCTCTTAAATATTAAACTGATTTAATGAAAGCTCCTTGCAAGTATTTTCATTTCGGCTGGGCTGGGGAGATGCCCTCCCAAGTTCTGCTGCGGTAGCTGGTCCCAATCTTCTTTGGTAGTTCCTACCTGACATGGTTATTGCAGAATTTTGTCAGCTGGGGCTGGTTGATGAATATAGTCCTTATTTCCTCCTGGTCAGCCAGTGACGTCTTCTCCGAAACATCATCAGTCTTCTCATAACCTTAGAGAGAGAGAGACTCTTCTTATTTGATAAGAAATGCTTCATTGTATTATCCAGACCAAAACTACATTTCCTAACTATCCTAGAGCCTAAAATCTGTTAAAAGCTATATGAAAGTGAAAGTCGCTCAGTCGTGTCTGACTCTTTGCAACCCCATGGGCTATACAGGCCATGGAATTCTCCAGGCCAGAATACTGGAGTGGGTAGCGTTTCCCTTCTCCAGGGGATCTTCCCAACCCAGGGATCAAACCCAGCTCTCCTGCATTGCAGGCGGATTCTTTACCAACTGAGCCACCAAGAAAGCCCATATGCTCCCCTCTTATTGGTGCTGTTTCTGTTCTAATAAAAAGAAAACCCTCCCACATTTAATATTTCTACTACATTTATTAATAAAAGGCAGCATTTTAGAGTCATGTCAAAGCTGACCCAATTCAAAAACAGTAACATCCAGTTTTAATTTGTACTTTTCCCCAGAAAGAGTACAACTTAGTTTGTTTCATTACATATAAACATGTCCAAAACAGCACGAAATTCTAAAATGGTTTATAGTTTTAGACAAGACTAACAACACAGAGGTAATGACAATGCATTCTGAAATTTTAAACATACCATTTAATGCATTTCTGGTTTCTGTCCTATCTTTGTAGATAAAGATAGAGAAAAAGATAAACAGTAAGGTTTAAACAGATAACCACCACAATGATCTAACTCACTATGACCATCCTAATCTTTCCAGTAATTAGAATTTATGTTCACAGATGAATTTTAAGTTTCTTAAGATCATCCTCGGCCACCCCACAGTCACTAAAACAACGTACACAGATACGGCACGGAAGGGGCACAGAGGCCAGGCTCGAAAGGGCCTCTCGAGAAGGGCTTGCCAAGGTTGGGGGGCATCCTCTGGTTGGCGGTGAGCCCCTGAGAGCTTTCTACACAGAGAGGTACAATGTGACAGTCACACTGTATGCCCATCACGCTGGAGGTCACACAGTTCCAAGTTAGACACGGTCATGCTCGTGGTGCAGTTTTAGACTCATTAGTGGCTTTGCCCGTCCATGGTCACACAGATAATAATTATCAGTCACTATGGCACATTTTAGAAAAGGCAGAGGAACCAGAGATCAAATTGCCAACATCTGTTGGATCATCAAAAAAGCCAAAGAGTTCCAGAAAAACATCTATTTCTGCTTTATTGACTATGCCAAAGCCTTTGACTGTGTGGATCACAATAAACTGAGAAAATTATGAAAGAGATGGGCATAGCAGACCACCTGACCTACCTCTTGAAAAACCTGTATGCAGGTCAAGAAGCAACAGTTAGAACTGGACAAGGAACAACAGACTGGTTCCAAATAGGAAAAGGAGTACGTCAAGGCTGTATATTGTCACCCTGCTTATTTAACTTANAGGATGAGATGGCCGGATGGCATCACTGACTCGATGGACATGAGTTTGAGTAAACTCCGGGAGTTGGTGATGGACAGGGAGGCCTGGCATGCTGCGGTTCATGGGGTCGCAAAGAGTCAGACACGACTGAGCAACTGAACTGAACTGACCTGAACTGATGCCACGTTTTAAACGCAGTGGGTTTTCCTCCTTAGTGTATACAATCAAAATTTCATAAAGGGATTGTCTTCTCCAAAAACTCATAGTTTAAAACCCTAACCCTGGATGTGCTGTTATCAGGAGGAGAAACTTTTTCAAGATGATGGTGGGACCATAAAAAGAGGAGTTAAAAGTTCCCCTTTTAAAAGAAGCCCAGAGAGAACCCTTACCCCCTCCACTTGTGAGGACATAGCAAGAAGATGGTCCTGTATTAACCAGGAGGTGGGCCCTCACCAGACACCAGATCTGCTAGTGCCTTGATTTTGGCTTTCCTAGCCTCCATAAAGGGCTTCCGTACTGGCTCAGAGGGTAGAAAATTTGCCTGCAGTGCAGGAGATCCAGGTTTGATTCCAGGGTCGGGAAGATCCTCTGAAGTAGGAAATGACAGCCCACTCCAGTATTCTTGTCTGGAGAATTCCAGGGACAGGGGAGCCTGGTTGCTCCCTGGGATCCCAGCGAGTCAGACACGATGGAATGACTAACACACACAACCCCATACAGCCTCCAGAATTGTGAGAAATAAATTTGCTATTCACAAACTAGCTAGTCTATGGTATTGTGTTATAGCAGCCGGAACAGACCAAGTTACGGATTATCAAATAGAGGCATAGCAATAGTAAAAGTTTTAAAAATTGTTCATTAGATTTTCCCTGAAGACAGCGCAAAGACCATAGTGTAGAGTCTTTGGTACCTTGGAGACAAAGAGCCTCAAGAAAACCAGCTCTCCAGTCTGCTCTGAACTGATTCTCAAGTTGTACTTACTTTACATAACTGGGTATGCTCAGCTGAGGAGTTAGGTGTCACTCCTTACTCTGTAATTGTTATTTCACCTGCTCCCCCTGTTTCACTGAGAGTTATCGAAATAGTATACCTCTGGCTTAGAGTAAGCACTCAGTATCTGAAGAACTAACAGATGAGCAAAAAACATTTAACAATATATCAAAAACAGATCTTTGTCTTCGATGTAGACACAGGTTATCCAAGCCTGTTAAGACTGACGCATAAATTCAAAATGACAGCTAGTAAGTTTAAGACGAGAAATAATTGCCATAGGAACTAGGGTAATTGCAGTCCCACGATCAGTAGAACTCTCCCCCTGTTGGCCTCTGTGGAAAGTCCAATGACCAAGTGATGGTGTCTGGTGAGCACACGAAGCAACCTACTGGTAGCTAGATGACATGAGCCAAATGGCGTTCGGCCAGCACGGATTGACGCGCTCCACTCCACAACAGGGGCCAATGCACTGTAGGACCGAAAACTTCACAGCCTGTCAGATACCTTGGCAATGGGGCCAGGACACCAAATCTGCCAGCCAACACGTCTCCTCCCCTCCAAAGAGCTAAGAAGAGTACTGCCAGTTTTTTAACTCCATGATTCACTCTTTTCCAGACCATCTCCATCTCCAAATTCAAACTGACATTTAATCTGCCAGTGGGATCACCATCAAAACCTGCAGGCCTAGGAACGAATTAGACCCTTGTGCCGAGAACTCGACTCCTAGCATGTGTTGATCTTGCACAGAAAAAACAAGGCAAGCTTGTTTTCCCCTCTGCAAGTTCTTGGGAGCATCCCAACATGGCCCCCATGTACGCAAGCTAAAGATGACCACGCCACCAAACACACAGCCCTTCCTCACATTTTGGATTCTCCCGGAGAATCCCTCAGGCGTTGGCCCCACTGTCCTCAGTGTCCAGCCAGGCAGGTGACATCCACTAAAGCATCATTACTCTTCTGACACCAACAGCTCCACCCGGCAAACCACTGCAGCCGCCTTCACACAGCTAACTCTGCAAGGATTAAAAATGAGCAAGGGCTCGATAGCGGCTTCTGAAATCCCTCAGCTTATTTTGATGTGATACTCCCCAAAGTCTACAACGTCTTTTTTTTTTCCTTTAGTGTTACTATTTAAAAGAATTTTTACTTTATATTGGTACAAAGTTGACTAACAATTCAGGTGTAGAGTGAAGTTATTCAGTTATACATATATTCTACAGGTATCTATTCTTTTTCAAATTCTTTTCCCATTTAAGACCAGCAAGAATCAATCCAATCTTCCCAAATAAACTCCTCTGGGCCAGCTTTTATTGAAATAAAGAAAAGGCCAAACAGTATAGACAATGATTCTCTAGTTCAGAATTCTGGATGTGCTGAAAATTTCATATTTTGTGTTTCCAACATCCCAATTGATTATTTCCCCTGGTAGAAAAGCATTTGTTTTCTGAATTACAGTTTATTTCAATTAATGATAAAATTACTTAGTATTTCCCAAGCATATATCAACCTGGGGATTTTACTAGACCAAATTCTGCTTTCTTGGTTACAAAACGACCAAATGCCACTTTGAGACTTTTGAAGATCAGTAATCTCAGTATAAGGAAATAGAGTCACACATGACTTTTAGTTACTGAAACATACTACTAGATATTACTTTGTATTACTAAATAAGGATATAGAAGCAACAACCTCCTGCAGACTATTTCAATTTTCAAGAATAATTTTCATTATCAAGAAAACATAAGATGACTGTGGGACAGCGTCTCAATCATGGCCCCGAAGTGAACACTTGGTTCGTCCCCGACAGCATTTATTATTAAACCCACTAGGCAGTTGTGAGGTGAGCTCTAAGTTCCACTAAGGACTTACGTGACCCTGTGCACATAATCCCTAGGGGCTATTGCCTTTCCTTGTAAAATGAGAAATGTAAGCAAATACAGTAAGTCCCCTACATATGAACCCTCGAGTTGCAAAATTTCAAAGATGTGAACGTATTATAAGCCTATTACAGCACAGTGCTGCATACCCGACTGTCAGCCCTATGAACAAACTGACCTTAACGAACACTCTCTCAGAACAGAATTTGTTCCTAAGTAGGGACTCCTGTAATCTGAAATTCTCTCCCAGCGTTAAAATCCTGTGAAGGTAGAATCTGCTGAGCACGAAGAAGAAAGCAGCGACCACCTCACTTGTTCAGATGAACAGGGAAATTAAAGGAAAAAAACCTCCCTACTTGAGCCAGATGTTTCAGAGCAGCAGCTGCTTTACAAAGTCAGCCGCCAAAACACGGGCAGAAAGTCACACGGGGCCTCGTGCTCGCAGGTGAATCTGCACATTTGAAAAGATAGGGAGTGGCCACAGTCTGTTGCCAGCACCCGCCTGGCCCCCACCCACGGGCCAGCGTCTACTGGGCTACCAAGTTTTCCTTTCTTCCTCCGCCCAGGTACACGGCCACGTGCTTAAGCGCACACAGTACAATGAGTAGAGGAGAAAAACGCTCAGCAGTTAAGGTGAAAGACTGCACTCTCTCACACAATTACAGGAGAAGCATAGCTCCGAAAATTTCCATTTCTTGTCATAAACATCATGACCCAATCTGCTCATTCATTCATTCAACATAG